TATAATTATCCATAAAATACCTATATTTCTCCTTTTTGAAAAACTGATATTTTCACATGTGAAAATGTTGTTATCATGTGTATTTAAGCTATTGGTTTACAAATAAAAACTTTTTATAATAATAAAAAACTTATTAAGTTGATTTTATGGATATCATATAATAAACAGAATATAACATGGGCGCTTGGAGATAAGAAATTTATCTTCGAGTGTTGAAAATCTCAATTGAACACTCGAAGATAAATTTCATATCTCCCGCACCCATGTAATATTCTCTATTTATACTCTAAATGCAGTCTAAACAAAAACTGAAGCACAATCTTTAATTTCAGGCTTGAAATATAAAATGGCTTTGAATATTATGTGCAGAAGACTTCCCAAGGCACTTGGTCAAGCCAAAAGACTTATTTCATACCAATCATCCTTCCAAGGTGAGTACTTTTTTGTTATTATAAACTTTCCATAATTGCCATTTGCATTGCTATGTGGCCACCCCAGACAAAAATTGCAACGTGCACTTTGCAATAGATTGCTGTCAATCAAACACGTTGATGCCATTTACACGCGTGTGTGATTCAAAAGGCGCCAAAACTTCGGTCGATTGTTTACAAGTATTATGAGCCACACTCACTGGGCCTATCTAAACGCGTGTAAATGACATCAACTTGTTTGATTGACGGCAGTCTATTGCAAAGTGCACGTCGTGATTTTTGTCTGGGGTGGCTGAGTAGCAATGCAAATGCCGGTAACTCTTACAGTCAAACCACCTCAAGCGTGAACACATAGAGTTCATTAATGACTTTATTTTTGGATTCTTGATTTCATTATTTGATTCTAAGATTCATTATTGAAAACGAATCTTCAAAGCCTAGTATGTACAAGAGCAAGCATATACGCAGCTGAAATGCAAAAACAACTTTTCGTGCAAGGAATATGTAATATTAATGACTTACCTTCTGTTTGCGCTATAAACAAGAGCCTACAAGCCAAGTTAATCAAATTTTTCAAACTATTATTATCTTTTTAATATTGAAGATTCGATTTCAGTAATGAATCTTCGAATCGAATAATGAAATCAAGAATCCAAAAATAAAGTCATTAATGACCTCTACGTGTTCACGCTTGACGTGGTTTGACTGTAAATTCAGGTAAGAATAAATAAATACTTGTGGGAAAAGATGTGGTCTTTTCGATCTATTGGTAGCGTTATCAAGTGGGCTGCAAAACCTGTTAGGCTTTCCATCCACCATAAATCCGAGTGGTATTAATCTGATTAGATTTAGTTAATTTTAAATCAATAGCAACATCCATGAATTTCTTGTAGAATCATTCATTTATATTTATGCTGTGTTTTCACTCTGGTTTTAAGGATTGAGAGCTGCGGCAGTGTTCAATGATGGCAGTGGCTTTGGCTATAACAGTAAAGGAGAATTGGTCATTGTCAAGGCAGCCACTGGGTAAGAATACATTATACAATGTACCCATATTGTGTTAAGCTGAGGACCATTAGCATAACGATGCAACATCTTAGTTTTAAACTCTTTGACTACAGGGTCCGAAATTAACTTTTGAGATAAGTTGTCCTTTGGACAACCATGTTCTAATTGTCCTATTTCACTATGACGTCACTGCATGTTTATGTGGGGGATAGAATCGCCAAATCCAATAGAAAATTCAACAAAATTTTTCCTAGTAAAACAGTTTAATCTAAAATGGCCTGATTTTCAGATATAATATGTGTTAATATGTACTAAAAAATATTCTGAGCATTTGCTGGCTATTCTCTTCATGGATTGATACGGGTTTTAGAACAATTTTTTGCTAAATTTGTGTTGATTTGACCCCCTCTGATGACCATGATCCTTTTCGTTTAAACAAAGATTGTTTTGATGTGACGTCATAGTGAAATAGGGCAATTCTTAGGCGTCCAGAGCAAAACTTAGGAGTCCACTTGGATGCCATTTTGTAGAGCCTGAATGACAAAAGTCAGCGGTTAGCTATAATGCAGAAGATGCAATCAAATTTGTCAGCGATATTCAATGGCTTCCAACGAATGCGTTATCTCGAATTTTTGAAAGTCTATCAGTTGAAAAATGAACTTTCTAGGTTTTAAGCAGAAGAAATATAATTTAGAATTATATCCGGACTTTACGGACTCTTTTATACTTGAAAGAAAACACCTTGGCAAAAACGTAGGTTGTCAGAAGGACAACCACATTTCAATATCTAGTCGTCATTTGCAAATTTCAGTCATCCCTGACGACTGGAAGACTGCTTATTTCGGACCCTAGACTATAATGATCGAATGATGACGTATGTACAGAGTAGCTCTACATTCAAATATACTGTGTATTGATATGTCAATATTTTGTTCAATGTATTACTACACCTAAATCAACCCAAATTAGGCCTAATATAGATTTCAAAATACTACTGTAGTAGTATTTTCACAGTATCAGTATCACCATATATCATTTTTACAGCTGACAGGCGCGCTTGTTTTCTGGCATGAAAACCCAGAACAGTGGCATACGTAATATGATACATATAGTAGAAAATGCAACGAAACTTTTTTCCCGCACAATTTCTGATTGGAACATTTTCTCTAAATTTTGCTTTCTGTAGGTAAACCTGGTCTAAACCTTGTACGTACACGATATTATTCTGGTGGTATTCTTTATCTTATGGTCGAATCATTTTGTTCTGTGACTTTGTGGAACAGCAAAATGGGAATACCCTGATAGATTTTTTGGAATGGACTGAAAAGATTTTGCCTTTATAAATCCTTTTGCTGTTGTATCCAGATCCTAAAACTATAGACCCCTTGCATGTGACGTCAAAGCAGCTCATTCTGGAGAACAAAACAAAAGAATTCCAATCTCCTGAGAATTGGAAGCTATTGTTAGGTGCTAACACTCTAGTTTCATGTTCTCTATTGCTCAGTGTTAGCCTCAATTTTGTGTAGAATATTCGTGTTTTCCAGTGTTTTATTGATGAAGAAATCTGCCATTCAGCACACATAACTACCTACATCTTGTTAAAGAGTAGCTTTTGTGGGAGTTGGAAATGTTACCACACATTTTTAGTCATGATAGACCTAATCGGCTAACGTGTTGCTATATACGTTTCCACCCAATTCAAACCACATGGGACTAAGTTTCATTGTTTGTTATATTTTGGTTTCACAGTTGAATTCGTAGAGACAAACGCTTCTATTCCCAGAAGGTTTGAATTGGGTGGTAACATATATAGCAACACATTAGCCGATTAGGTCTATGTAAATACACTCGGCCTGTATCTATGGATAGCGGAATGGTCACATGCAAGGGGTCTATAAGGAAAGGATGGTGTGCTTTGCTAATAGCCCACTTCCAAGATATGCTTTGCTTGTGACGTACAAAGGTTTCAGCATAAGGCTATGTGCTAAATGCTCAGTCATTCGTGACAGACGGTAAGAATAAGTTTAATTTAGCACGTAGCCTCGTACTGAAACCTTTGTGCGTGACAAGCGGATCATATCTCGGAAGTGAGCTATTAGCCACCTCATTCCTTCTGTCATGGCGTCCATTTTCTGACCAAGTGTCACATGTTCTTGTGTTTTTTTTACTAAAGGGGGAGGGGTTAAATATTTGTTCTGATCACACTCGTCATCTGCAGGATAAGCACCGATGGCTACAATTATGGATCACTGTTCCAAAAACCGTTGGAGAGAACTAGTCCAGTTATCCCAACCAAACTTGTTATTGACAGGGATTTGTGGATAGAAAAATCAGCCAATGACCCTACTAATAGAGGTACTGGATTACTTTCTTGGACAGGAGGGGAAGGGCAAGACAC